GGCAGCGGGCCGTGCTGACCCCTCTCCCCGCAGAGTACCTGGCCCAGCTGGAGCGGCAGCTGCAGTTCTACACGGAGGCCGCCCGGCGCATGGGCAACGACGGCAACAGAGTGAGCTGGGCGAGGGCTGGGCGGGCACTGGGGGCTGGGGAGGCAGGGGCTGCCCACCGACCGCCCGTTGTCCCCCAGGAGGCCGCAAAGGAGGCGCTGTACAGGCGGAACCTGGTCGAGAGCGAGGTGAGCGGCGGGTGGCGGGGGTGCGGCGGCTGTGGCCGGGCCCCCCTGACCCCAGCGCCTCTCCCCCAGCTGCAGCGGCTCCGCAGGTGAGGGCTGGCGCGTGGGCGGCCCCTGGAGAGCAGCGGGCAGGCCTGAGGCCCCGGCGCCCGAGGAGCTGCCTCGGCCGCAGACCAGACAAGCAGACAATCAGTGGACAATCGGCTCCGAGTGGACACGTCCCCCCGGGGCCCACCCAGCCAAAGCCTCCCCCCAGGGGACGACAAGGACGGTGCCCGCCAGCCGGTGTGCACCGCTCGCCCAGGCCCAGCTGGGTGGGCCCCCGAGAGTCCCGTTTGCACAGTCCCGGGGTGTCAGCCAGGGGCGGCTGGGATTAAGTTCTGAGGGCCCTGCAAGCACTTTACTTCCTGTCCCTCCCCAGCCTTAACCCTGGAACCCACCCCCACCCCCACCCCAAAGAATCCACTGAGGCCAGCCAGAGCCCGCCGGCTCCCAGGGGGTTGCCCTGGCCCAGCCGGGCCCCAGGGCTGACTCGAGGAATAAACAGCCAGGGCCACACCCATCCCGCTGTCCTGCCTTCGTTTCTCGCTCCTCGCGGTGTCTTTCCCCCAGCCCCTGGATGGAGATGTGCCTGCACGAGGGGGAGTGTGGCCCCAGCCGGTGGCCTCGGGTGTGTCTGGGTTTACACGTGTGGTTGGGCCATAGGTGACGGTGCTTGGTGACCTGCCTGTGGCCCAGGGTTTCGAGATCCAGCCCTGCTGCTCACTGGCCAGGGGACCTGGACCAAATTGCCTGACCCACTTAGCATCCCAGGACCTGTCTCCCCAGCTGGACGCGGGGACTGTGAGAGCCCCTCCCGGCAGGTGAAGAACCCCTGGGAGGTGGTGAGCACTTGAGTTAGACTTTATTGTCGCCGTCTGAGTCTGTGTGGGGTGAGGGCAGGGCCGGCTTGGTCTGTGCGCTTGGGCTTCGTGCTTCAGTGCCCTGAGTGTGGAGGCTGCGTACCCCCTGAGATCTCTGGTCAGCACCGGTGACGCGGGCCCAGCCCTCGAGGCCTGGGAGAGCCAGGTCGAGGCCCCAGGTGGGTGCCGTCTCCTTAGTCCATGGCCCAGCGGAGCCCCAGGGGTCTGGGCTGCACTGCTGGGCTTCTCCAGGCTCAGGAGGCCCCTGCCCGTGGCCGACGTGGGGCTGTTAGCGGCAGCTGGACCAGGACCTGCTCGGGGTTACCCGTCGTGTCCACGAGGCGCAGGTGCTGGAGGCCCAGGAAGGCCTCGGGCGAGATGCTGGTCATGTGAAGCCTGTTGGCCCTGGAGGGAGAGGTGGGTATGAGGGCAGGTGCCAGCGGAGCGGGCCACAACCGTCCTGAGCCACCCAGCCTCCCTGGGTGCACCACAGCCCCCCTCGGCCCTCCCTGCCTGCTCCCAGCAGCCCCACCCAGCCGCCCTGGGGGCACCTGAGGAAGAGGGCGCGCAGGCGGGGCGTGCTGAGGAAGGCCTCAGGGCCCACGTGGCCGATGCGGTTGCCCTGCAGGTGTAGCTCCTCCAGGGCCTCGGGCAGGTCGGGGGGCACGAAGGACAGCTCGTTGTGGCTCAGGTCCAGGACCTGGGTGGGCGGCGGGCAGAGATGGCGCCGTGGCGGCCCCAGGCCCTGGGCCAGCCGCTCGGACAAGCCCCAGACCGCTCTCGCGGGCCCTCCTCTGCTGCCTGCCCAGCGCGGTCCTCCTGCCCCCTCCCCTTGACACCCTTTGTGGCTGCCAGTTTCCTCCCCGCGACAGAGATGAACTGAGTCCCCTGGGGCAGGCCCTGTTCTGGGCCCGGGGTGCGGACAGACAGGGTCCCCGCCTGCTGCCGGAGACACTGAATCAGTTAGTCACCAAGATGTTGCTTCCTCCACGTGCTCGTGCCCTTCTAACACGCTATCGTTTACTTAAGGCTGTTGACTGCTTTCTCCCTAACTAGAGTGTTTGTGCCAGGACCCAGGAGCTGTGCCGCTCCGGGCCTAGCACAGCGCCCGGCACCCACAGCTGCACCAAACTGTGTGGAATCAACAGTGCTCCAAGGCGCTAGAGGCTGCGCTGGGGAGGCGGAGGGGGTGGTGGTGGCAGACCAGGCTGCAGGGACAGCCCGGGCAAAGGCCTGGAGGCTGGGTCTGCCTGCTCTGCCCCAGGGCTGGCCCACGGCAGGGGCTCTCGTGGAGGTGAAGCTGGGCGGACAGGGGGATGGAGGGGCCCCCGGGACCGTCGGTGTGGCTCCTCAGCCTGCCCCTGACCTGAAGGGCCTGCAGTTCGTGCCAGGTGCCGGGCTCGATGTCGCCCACGCGGAGCCGGTTGTGTGCCAGGCTGAGGTCCTGCAGCTGGTGCAAACCCGCCAGCCGCTCGGGCTCGAGGGCCCGCAGCTGGTTCCGCTGCAGCCGCAGGGTGTGCAGGCCAGCGGGCAGGCCAGCGGGCAGCCGGGTCAGCTGGTTGCCGGCCAGGTCAAGGCTGCGCAGGGCGCGCAGCCGGCGGAAGGCCCGGTGGTGCAGGTGGGCGCTGCTCAGGCGGTTGTAGGCCAGGTTGAGCTCAGCCAGCCCTGGCGTGGCTGCCAGGTCGCGGGCGCCCAGCGCGGCCACGCGGTTGTGGGGCAGCACCAGGGCCCGCAGGCGGCGGGGCAGCGCCGGGGGCACTCGGTCCAGCCCGTTCCCGTAGAGGTGCAGCGTGTGCAGGCCCCGCAGTGGCCGCAGCGCCCCAGCGGGCAGCCCCGCCGCCCCCAGCTCGTTGTGCTGCAGCAGCAGGTAGCGCAGGCCTCGCGCCCCGCGCAGCCGGGCTGCCTCCACCCGCTGAATGCGGTTTCGGCCCAGGTGCAGCACGGCCAGGGCGCGGGGCAGGCCGGCGGGCACCACAGCCAGCTGGTTGTGGGACAGGTCCAGGTACTCGAGGCGGTGCAGCTTGCTGGGGGAGAGAGGGCCGGTGTTGGGCTGGGCCCAGAGTGGGGGGCCGGGCAGATCTGGGGGCAGTCGAGGGCTCCCTGAGAGATGTAAGCTGGACGTTCCAACTTGGGGAGATGAGTTGAGAGATCTGGGTGGGAGCTAAACTTGGAGTGGCCAGGGCAGAGTCCTGCCTGAGGGGTGGATGTGGAGGTGGCCAGGGCAGAGTTCTGGGTGTGAGATCTGCGCATGGCAGCTGTGGTGTTGCACGGCGCTGGGGAGCAAGGGGGCTGCCAGGTACTCGGCCGAGCCTGGCGCACAGTAGGTGCTCACCAAATGAGGCTCTGGGTTAGGAGTCATACACAGGACAGGGACAGAACGTTGGGGCCCCTGGACTCCAAATCCTCAGCCCCTACTGCCAGCACGAGGCGGCACCCCCGTCCCACCGTGTCCCAGGCCCCACCTGAAGGTGGTGGCATCCAGGCCACTGTCCGTCAGCTGGTTGTGCTGGAGGTAGAGTTCACGCAGGTGGGTCTGGCGGCTCAGGGCCCCTCGGGGCACCTTGGAGATGAGATTGTTCTGGGCAGGGAGGAGAGAAGGGGACCGAGGGTCAGAGACAGAGGACAGGGCAGCCACGGGAGGCGAGGCTCTCGAGTAAGGGCGTGACGGACCTCGCTCTAGCAAGGCTGCTCAGAGAGCACTCGTGAACCGCCTGCCAGTGGAAGAGACTCCAGGAAAGACATTTCCGACTGCGGGAATTCTGAGGGGGCGGGGGCCCCCGGGGAGAGCGGTGGAGAAGCCCTGGAGGCGGGACGCGGGGTGGGGAGGTGGGGGCACCTGGAGGTGGAGCCGCTCCAGCGAGGGTGGCAGGCTGGGCGGCACGTAGCTGAGCCGGTTGCTGGAGAGGCTGAGGGTGGCGACGGCCTCGGAGCCGCGGAAGGCGTCGGGGGGCAGGCCGGCGTTGCTCAGCTGGTTGTTGTGGAGGTACACGGACCTGAGGGGAGCCAGGCTCCGGCCACCAGCCCGCCCCCAGCCTCCCCACCGCCCCCCACTCCCACCCCCACCCAGCGCAGGGCCACCTTCAGTGTGAGCGTGCACTGTCTCCACTTCAGGCTGGAATTCTCCAGACGAGGCCACCAGGGCTCTGTCTCCCACCTCAGACCCCCCACAGGGTAGGGCTCCGGCCCCAGGTTGGGGGTGACCACAGGCCTATCTGCGGCCTGGGGGCCTGGGCTGGGCCAGGGGCTACCTCAGCGCCGGCTTCTCCCCGAAGGTGAGCGGGAAGATCTCGGTCACTTGGTTGGCAGCCAGATCCGCGACACGGAGGGAGCGAGGCAGGAACTGGGGGGCCACCGAGAGCTGCGGGAGCACGGCCCTGCTGGTCCCGGTGCCCCCGGCCCGCGCTGTCCCGCGTGCGCCCCGCGCTCTGTGCCCCGCCGGCCGGGCCTGGGGGCTCACCTTGTTGTGGGCCACGTAGATGTGCTGCAGCTGCGTGAGGGACTCGAAGGCCTCGTCGGGCAGGCCTGCGGTGGGCGGGCCGTGAGGGACCCGGCCGGGGGGCTGGGAGCCTGTGCTCGCTGGCCAACGCTCCTCCAGGCACCCCCTCCCCGCCCTCGAAAGCCACAGCCCCCCACCCCCTGAGTTTCCATCTGCTCAGCACAGGGCAGTTCCGGGAACGGCCGCTGAGCCGCCCGCAGAGCCGGGGGCGGGAGGGGCAGCTGGGGCCGTGCTGGAGGGCCCCTCCCTCGTCCCCCTCACCCTCGGAGGAGATGAGGTTGTTGTGGAGGTTGAGGGTCCGCAAGCCGCTGAGGCGTGACAGCTCGTTGTAGGGGAGCTCCTGGAGCTGGTTGTTCTGGGGGCGGGGGCGGGCATTCACACCCCTGACCCCGATGCCCCTGAGCCCTCAGCAAGGGACCCCAGCCCTGATCCTCAGCTCCCCACCACCCTAAACAAGTGAGCCCCGACAGCCCATCACCCCCACAGTCGATCCCAAGTGCCCCATCACCCTGACCCCAAACAACCCCATAACTGCCAAGATGTTGACAGCCAGCACCTCATCACCCCCACAGTTGACCCCACATGCCCCATCACACTACCCCAAGCAACTCTGTGACCTCCAAGATGTTGACCCCGACACGCTCAAACCCTCAGCCCCCACTTCTAATATCTGTACCCCGACTCCTCTGGCCTCTGACGCACAGACCCCAACACTCCCATCAAGGCCAACTTCCATCAGTGCCAAGCCACGCACAGGCCCCCACCCCATCACCCTCCACCCCAGCACTCCCCGTGCTCGCCCCTCGAGGGCCCCTCGCCCCGCCTCCCCCAGCCCCCCACCGCCGGGCCCACCTGCAGGGACAGGTGCTGGGCCTCCCTGGTGATGTTGTCCGGGAACACGAGCAAGTCCAGGCCGTCGCAGGCCACCGTGTCAGCCCGCGGGCAGAAGCAGCGCGGGGGGCAGGCCCGGGGCGGGGGCTGCGAGCTCTCCCCCAGGTGGGGGAAGGCGGGGTCCTCCATGCAGGGGGCGGGTGGGGGGCCAGGCAGCAGCAGCAGCAGCAGCAGACTCAGCCGCTGCGAGCGGAGGGCCGGGTCAGGGTGTCTCCCGGCTGGGCAGGAGGTCGCCATGGCGACAGGAGCATCCCCGCCCCACCTCGCCATAGCCAGCCCAGCTCAGCCTTCTTGCCCGAACGGCCCACCAGGACTCCCTAATGCAAGGCAGGCGGTCACCTCCCGGAGACTCGGCCGTGGCCGCCACCACCCCCCATCTCCAGGCAGAGGCCACCCTCCCTGCAGCCTGTGCTCCCAGGGGCTCAGGGGAGCGGGCCCACCCCCTTCCCCGCCCTGGGGAAGGCGGGCGGCCTGCCGGATGGGGTGGTGAGGACAGGCCAGCCCGTCCCCTCGGTCCCCCCCCAACCACCCCGGCTCTGCTTGCGTAACCTCAGCCAGCCTGGGCCGGCCACGGGAGCAAGGAATGTTGGGGGGAAAGCCGAGATTCGCCCTGTCTGGTATTTGGGCCAACCACAGGGGAAGGAGTGGGGGCAGAGGAGGGGAGGGCACTTCAGGCCGCAGGAGGGTCCCCAAGGAACCGGGGCTGGCAGCGAGGAGTCAGGGCAGGCCTGGGGGCCCTCAGCCAGGTCTGCCGTCTGGGCCCTCCTCCCTCTGCCAGCTGGCCTCCCTGGCAGCCAGACTCCCCCCTCCTCAAATGGCCACAGCCGCCACCCGAAAGGAAATTACACGTATTGAGGCAGCAGCCTGGTGGTTAAGGATGTGTGCTCAGCGCCAGCCTGCCTGGGCTGGGACCTGGGCTCTGCCACCTCTCTGGGCCTCGGTTTCTCACTCTGCAAAGTAGGGGAACGGTTGTCTGACCTCCTGGGAGGGGTGTAAGGATTAAATGAGATAATGCCTAGGATGTGGGCAGACAGTGCCTGGCACATCCCAGGCCCTCAATGCTGGAACGGCAGTGTGTGCCGTGGGGCGAGGAAGCCCGTCTCTGCCCAGGCGTAATCCCCCAAGACAGACCACTTGCCGGAGGGGTGACTTCAGGCCAGTCATTTTCCTGCCCAACCTCAGCTTTCCCACGCACAAAACGAAGATGACAGAAGACCTTTTCTCAAAGGGCTGTCCCAGGGCGAAACCAGGTGGCGGACGGACAGCTCTAAGCACCTGCCCCTCACAAGTGGGAGCCGCCGAGCTGATGGGCTGTGCAAAGGGCGTGAAGGCCACTGCGGTCTCCCAGCAGCAGAGCCTGAGACGAGGCTTGAGTGCGTTTGTCTAGGAGAACGCAGCTGCAGGGAGTGGGGAAGTGACAGAGGGCAGGAAGGCAGCAGTCAGTAATGGATGAGTTATCGCCAGGGATCCTCTTGCCTGGAACCTGCCAGTGTTAGCACTCAGAATACTGCATCCCAGAAAACCCTTAGTCCTGGGCAGACGGGGATGGTCGGTCCCTCTTGTTATCAGCAAGTTCCTGCTATAGGTAACTGGGCTCAGGCCCGCTGGGGAACGCTGAGAGATTGGGGACACGCTCAGAGTCATCCCTCTGCTGGGCGAGGGAGCTGGGGTGCTGATCCTCCAACTCCCTCCATCGGTTGAACTCCCCGGCACTTGGTAGAGAAGACCAGGCCCAGAGACACAGGTGCCCAACAGCGGGGCCCGGCCAGCACCTGCCACGGGAGGCTGTGGGGCCGAGCCCTGGGGAGACGGCAGTGAAGCAGGTCAGGTGGGCAGGAGGAAGGGGCCATGATGCGGGAGAATGATGGAGAGAGAGGGTGTCTGTGCTTGTAGCCACCCTTTCGCCGAGGAGGACACTGAGACCCGAAGAGGTGGCGTTTGCCCACGATTCCCAGGACTGTGTGGCCTTGGGAGGGGGACCCTCAGAGCCCCTCAGTGCCCCTCAGTGCTGGGGCACGAGACAAGACAGGCCACACCCCAAGTTCTCCATGTGGGACTGACAGCCACTAGTTTGGACATTGTGTAGAAGCCCCTCAGTCTCCCTAGCAGAGGAGTGGGGCCAGCCCCAGGGAGCTACTGAACTACTGCACAGATCCTAGCCCCAGGGAAGCAGCAATGAGAACAACCTTTGAATTTGAATTCAAATTTCAAGTTTGAATTTCTAGCTGGCCTCTTTCAGTTGCAAAGGATGGAGAACCCAAACCAAACTAACTAATGCAAATAAGGGCATTTATTGACTCATGAACAGAGATGCTGGAGGGGTGTGTCCTTCAGGCATAGCTGGATCCAGGGACTCAAATGACATCCTCAGGATGGATTCTCTCTCTCTCAGCTCTACCAGCATGCTTCTCTATGTAGTGCCAAGGAACCCCAGCTTTAGTCCAGCTGAAAGCCCTGAACTAGAATCTCATTGGCTGAGTTTTGGTCACTTGTCCATCTGGAACCAGTCCCTGTGGCCAGAGGGACGTAATGTGCTGATTGGCTGGGAACTTAACCACCAGTCTTGTAAATGACCCCCGGCCTTCTCTCTAGGCCCTTCTCTCTACCCTCCCCTGCCTAGCCCTGCCTTCCCTACCCAGCGAGGAGTTCTGTGGGGACAGCGATGGAGTACGGTCCACCAGTGTGGAGCCTGGCATGATCACCATTTATACACCTTCCTGGAATGCATGTAGGGTTGTGCCCATGTGTGTGGGGAGGTTTGCGTGGGGAGGGGGTGTGGTGTCTCTCAGTGCCCCTGAGGCCCTGCCTTCAGATTAGGAAGGACTATGTGGTCATGGGGACGAGGGACAGTTGCAGTAACACCGTGGGCAGCTAGTGCAGCAATCTGGTCTCCTTTTGGCTGCTGGGGGTCGGGGGAGGAGGCAGGGTTAGTGTGGGAGGGAGCAAGAGGCTCATGGGAAATGTAGTCTCCCAATTAGAAGAGGAAAGTAGGAGTCTTAACTCAGGCCCAGTTAAGGATCCCAAGGCACACCCCTCCTCATCCTCTGATGGCATCCGACCTTGAGACACTGGCCAAGGCCAAATTCCTCAGCCAGCCTTCATCTGGCTAATTAGCCCTTCAGGATCTGGACCCAACCCATAAAATTGCTGCTCTTTAGCTGGGCCTATGACTGCTTGGAATAGAGAACTACATGTCCCAGACTCCTTTGCAGCTAGGAGCAGTCTTAGGACTATGGAAGCAGGAGTGGTATGTACAGCTTCAAGGAAAAGGGGATGTCTTTCTATTTCCTTCTGTTGGAAAGCAGATGTGATGGCTGGAACTCCATCGGCCATCTTGGGCCATGACACTACCTTGGGAATAGAGGCCTTGAATGGTGAAGCAACAAGATAGGAGCAACCTGGGTGCTGCATACCATGCTGTGCCATCCTTGGACTGACCAGAGTTTTGATCACTTCCCAATTACCCCATTGGTGAAGGAGGGATCCCCCACCTTAAATAGTGCAAGATGGCTGAACACACGACACCCAGCACTGGATAGATGAGATTGACATTGGTTTACTAGTCACATACACTCCGAGCCCAGAGGAGGGGAGGACACTGCACGCCATGTAGAGCCACACAGGCCGGGGGTAGGGTGATGGTGCTGCACTCAGGAGCAGAGTCAAGACGCAGGGGCTGCAGGAGGCGGGCTGCGGAGTGACAAACAGTGGGTGGCCTCTGGTTCCCATGGGAGGATGCGACTGGCTTGTTTGAGTAATTTCTCAGGCTGGCGGAGAGGTGAACCCATTAGGTTGAGGACCAGATGGGGTGCAGCTGGTCTGGCCGATAGAGGAACCAGCCGGGTGGGGAGCCTCCTGCTGGGGGGCGGGCATATCTGCCAAAGGCCGGGAAACCCACAGTTAGGCCTTTGGGGCCCTGAGAGGCTCAAAGATATGAAAGCAGCGCACGGAACTGCAGGCCTTTCCACATGACCAGCTCCGGTCATCCTGAACGTGAGAGGAAAATAGATCTCTCTCTTGTTTCAGCAGCTATTTCTCTTTTATTTCTTCTCTTTTTTTTCCTTTTTTTTTAAAAAACTGAATCTAATCTTAGTGGATACAGAGGACATCCACGTGGCTAATGGATGACATTAGCAAGGGAGAAAGTACAGAATGGGAGAAGGGAGACCCTTGAGGAATGCTCATGCTCGAGGCAGGTGCAGAGGAGAAGCTGGCGACGGCCACAGAGACGGGGAGTCAGAGAGAGACAGGACCTGACAGCATCTGGTAACACTGGAAATGTGCCGCCATGTCCTCGTGCCAGGTCACTGTCTATGTCAAATATAAAATGACGCCGCGTCACGGTGCGCCCAGGTGGGTGTGTCTGTGAGGGTGTTTCCGGGTGAGATTAGCACTTGAATCAGTGGACTCAGTAAGGTAGACGGCCCTGCCCAGTGTAGGGGGCATCGTCAGGGCCACTGAGGGCCTGAACACAGGAGCAGGACTTCACCCTTTCTCGTCCTGCCTGCCTGGTTGAGCTGGGACATCCGTCTCCTCCTGCCCACAGAGTGGGGTTTACATGAGCTGCCCTGGCTCTTAGGCCTTCAGACTCAGACTGGGATTATCACCAGCTTTCCTGGGTCTCCAGCTTGCAGATGGCGGATCGTAGGGATTCTGGCCCCCATGACCACAGGAGCCCCTTTCTCGTCAACAATCTCTTTTTATGTATACGTATGTATGTTACATATATAAAAGGACATATACATAAGGATATATATACATATATATCTTATTGGTTTTGTCTCACGTGTATCAGGCAGGCGAGATCACTCTGCGTAACAGACGAGCCCAAAGGTCAGCAGGTCAGGGGTCAGCAGCAGAGCCGGTCAGCCAGGAATACGATCCCCACAGACCCGCGGGCCTCTGAGCCCCGCGGCCGCTCAGGCACCCGGCCCGACAGGCTGCGCCGCCCTGAGGGGCAGCCTCCCCGGGCGCTGGCGCCGTGGAAGCGAGAGAGGCGACCCCCAGGAAAGCGCTCGGGTGTTTCCCCCAGAAGCCTGCCTACGCTTCCGCTCCCACTTCACTGGCCAGGATTAGTCACGTGGTCCCGCCTGCCCGCAAAGGGCGGGGCGCGAGGGGAGCAACAAATGGAATATTTTGAATATTTGCAGTGTTACTCTCGCTGCGACACCCGAGGTCCAGCCGTCCGTTCTG